AGCCTTTATACATACTTCCAAAATATCTCTATCAAGGCAAATATTGTTGAAAACCTGGAAACGAGTTATGCAGTTGACCCTTTTGCAACAGAGATTTTCCTGGTCACTGGGCATAGGTCGGCAAACTCCACACCTGCACCACTCTGGAGAACTGTTTGTTGCCTGGGCTTGGGGAAGGTGGTGGTGGTGCATTTTTCTCATCTAGCAACTTCTTTGCAAAGTCCAAACTCCCTCTTCCCATTGCCAAAACATTCCTGAGGAGGTACTCTATGTCCTGTCTAGTAAGCGTTGACAAAAATTCCTAGACCAAAGAGAACATTGCAAAAAGTATAAATATTTTAAGTATGTACAGAGAAACCAACAGAGGGCTGAAAATCTTACTCTGGGATCCCCCAGGTATAAAAAAGCATTCTGGCTTATTTTACTAACGTTTAGGTTAAAAGTTCTATGTAGACTACGATGTATTTGTGAACGAACAATAACAAAGTCTTCACCACTATTTGTGTTGCTGAGGACTGCACCTCGTTGAACAACTGCACCTCTCCGTCAGGATCCACTGGCGTATTTACTCGTTCAGCCCCTGGCTCCTCCTTGCCTGTAATACAAAGATGTAATAAGTTGAAAAACTCTTCATGTAAGAAAATAAAATTGTGAAAATTTACATTGTTTTTTCATTTCGCTTTATTGCAAAGGCAATTCGACGTGCAGTTTTGGTTAGCCGCTTTGCACGAACAAGAACCTCGGCCAGTTCTGCGTGCACACGCACTATTACATGAACAGCGCACTTCTGCAGCAGCTAAGTCCTGAAAGATTCACCATAAAAAGGGGATGAAAATGTTTATTTCATTCGACAAATAACAGCAGAGGCATATATTCCGACAGCGAATTCGACAATGAAAGTTTTGCACCTGGATTTGTCACCTACCTCGGAGTCAACGATTCATCGTTGTTAATGGATTCATCGACTTCCATGAATAACCAATATCTATTTCCAGAATTATCAAGACAATCTGGCAGAGAAAAGAGACTAAACACCGCGCGCGAAGCTTTGAATGTGCGATAAGTTTCCCTCAAAACACAAGCCGATAAAAATAGATAGCCAATCAGAGAGCGTCATTTAACAACAGAGCGNACAATAAAAAAGTCTTCACCTCTATTTGTGTTGCTGAGGACTGCACCTCGTTGAACAACTGCACCTCTCCATCAGGATTCACTGGCATATTTAATCGTTCAGCCCCTGCCTCCTCACTTGCCTCTAATACAAAGATGCAATAAGCCAAAAAACTCTTCATGTAAGAAAATAAAATTGTTAAAATTTACCTTGTTTTTGCATTTTGCTTTATTGCAAAGGCAATTCGACATGCAGTTTTGGTTAGCCACCTCGCACGAACAAGAACCTCCGCCAGTTGTGCGTGCACACGCACCATTACATGAGCAGCGCACCTCTGCAGCAGCTAAGTCCTAAAAGATACACAATAAAAAGAGTATGAAAATGTTTCTTTCATTCCACAAATAGCAGCAGAGGCAAATATTCCGACAGCAAAATTCGACAATGAATGAAAGTTTTCCACGTGGATTTGTCACCTACCTTGGAGTCTTCAGAGTTTTCAGGTTCTTCTGGATCGATCAATGACCTGTAAATGTTTCATTGCTGCGATTCATCGTTGTTAATGGATTCATCGACTTCCATGAATAACCAATACCTATTTCTAGAATTATCAAGACAATTTGGCAGAGAAAAGAGACTAAACACCGCGCGCGAAGCTTTGAATGTGCAATAAGTTTCCCAACGAAAAAACAAGTCGAAAAAAATAGATAGCCAATCAGAGAGCGTCATTTAACAATAGAGCGGTTTGAAAACAAAAACAAACGACTGCATTGCATCAAGGATGAAAATGGGCCTTTAACTTTTCTAACATTTGATTTTGGGCTTGGTTCACTTGAAAGTAACTGCAGACTAAATATTGAATTTGTCTCCCTTGCATTTAATAGTGAAACAGTGAATTAGAGTGTTGATACATGTAATAATGACCACTAAACTAACTACAAAGCAAATTACTACCAAGAACCTTGAATTGAAAAGTAATTAAACAGAGAAGGCCAAAGATTAATGCACTGCAACGATTTCTCTACTGACTATAATTAATGACATCAAGATGACTGTCTTTCGTCTATAACAAGAACCATTTACGCTTCTTCCAACAGCACTGTTATACGCATTTAAATTGCATATTTGTTTAAGGTGGTAGCTATTTACATGTACTCTTCAGAATTCAAGTTCAAATCTAGCCACACCTTATAGTCTTGTTTGAATTCATTCCACTAGGTGGCTCATAGCCCTCTGCTACAGTTTACTCCACATTCAAATTATGAATCATTCAATTTCAGTCTATGCAGTGGTTACTGAATGACTTGCGCATTTGCATGACCTATTAGCTAATCCTGCATTAATAATAATAGTTGAGCATTGCTAATAGTATCGCTCTTGAAACTAATTTTAATACACCCCTGTACCTCCCATGGCAAGACAACTACATGATTTTGACCAATAAACTAATAATACTATGCAACTACAGAGTATGAATAGTGTACCTCCTGCTGCCTGGTTCTCCACAGATGGCCCTGTTTCCTCTACCATAGTAAAGAATGATCCAACCTTTCGACCGTCCAAAACTTGACGAATGACATAATCACTGCTGGTGCCATTTGCTATCACTACACTGGTACCTCTCTCAAGAGCCCATGCTGCAGCCTGAAAGGTCACACAAACAAATTAAGATCAAAAGAACAACTGCTAGGAAAAGCTGGAGATAGCTGACTAAAACTTAGCTGGATGTATTCACTAGGTTACTTACCTCTATAATTGAAGGCTTTCGTGCAAAAAGGACATACATAGCATTTTGGGCCGATTTTTATTTTTTGCAGGATTGAGCTAATTTTTGGCAGACTGACTTGTTTTGACGTGAAAAGCATCGTTGCGTAATTGTTTTTCTTGATTTGCACTTCGTTTTTGAGAAATAACATATGCAAAAAACTCAGTTTTCCAAGGGTATCTTTTAGAGATCTTTTGCTGAGTGGAAAACAAAAGACACCTTTGTTTTGCTAAACGATAAAGTCACTGAAGTGTGGTATTTGCTGCTAGTTTTATTATTCATATAATTGTGCAATTATCTTACTGTTGCTCCATTAGTGCAAACGAATAAGGCGCTGAACGTGCTGAATTTGAGTTTGTTTCGTCGTGACACCGGTTCGATACGAGGTCAGTTGATTTTTTTTTCCCGTCTTTTTCTCTACTTCTTTCAAAAGTCAAAATATCTATTTAAAAAAACTGTGCTGTCGAAGCTGCTAAAAGTAACCATTTAAGTTCACACCACGTCAAAATCCACCTTGGAAGGATTTGCTCCAAAAGATCGTGCTCAGAGAACTGAGTTTGGTGCAATGGTGCTTTTCATGTCAAAACAAGTCAGTCTGCCAAAAATTAGCTCAATCCCGCAAAAAATAAAAATCGGCCCAAAATGCTATATAAGCCCCTTTTGCACGAAAGCCTCCGATTATATTGCCAACCCAAAAATCTCTAAAAGCATGCCACTGCCAAATTGGACTTGGCCAATGCCGTTTCCCAATTTTGGCAGCTACTGAAATTTTTCTTATTCAATTATTTCAAAATTGGACAGCATGTAGTCCTAATACATATACTTTTAACCACTGGTTAGTTAAGTGGGCTGCACCTTAAAAGAAAAACTGATCAAAGAGAGTATACAATAAAGCTATAGCTGAACTGGGGAAGGGACTTGAAAAGGATTGGCACAATAGATAGATAGATAATCTTTATTTACACACAGTTAAAACTTCGTCAGCTAAAACTACTAATAACGCATAGTAAAAAAGTAATTGAATAAAAAAAGCGCTTTCCATGAATGCCGTGCCTTGTACATCTCTTGAGTAGGCGTTTAAACTACCTCAGGGACTCTGCTTCTCTTAAGTCACAAGGAAGACTGATCCAAAGAATGGCTACACTATAGCTAAAGCTATTTAACCGCACGGCCATGGGCCAAGTGCGCTTCATGTTCTACACGTTGTTTACTTTTTTTTTAATTTTTGTTTTGTCGGTGACCAGACCCAAACTTCCTCTCAGCCAAATTTTGAATCATGCAACCTGTGATGTTTTTTCGCCAAAAGCTGTTGAAACATTAATACACGGACAATGCCACAGATATTGTTTTCTTTATTGTGTGCAAAATACATTTTCTTTTGGTTTTATCAAAGTGTTGGATTCAAAGGGAATAACAAATATGCTAAAAAAGGTATTACGTCAGTCATGGAATGCGCTGATGTTGCATCTTTCACTTTTGCTACATGACAAATAAGATCATGTTTACTTTGCAAGTTTATTTCGCTGGAACAACAGTCCTTTTAGTTTTCCAAGTATTTTTCATATGTTTAGACAAGAGAAGTGAATTGTGCTGTTTTATTGAAGCGAGTTCAAAGATCGGAAGGAAAATTAAATATTTGCAAGCCAAGCAAAGAATGTGTCAGAACGTGCAAGGATTACATCATTGATAGGGAAATAACCACCATACTAAAGATAGTCGTGCATAACATAATTCTTGAATTGTGACTCGTGTGACTACTTTGCTAGCCCTTTACTCGTGGAAAAACCAATTAAATTTAATCATGACTTTTAAGACAGAAAGCTGTTATATGAATGAGATTAAATTTTGATAAACATTTCAAAATAAAAATGAGCGATAGAAATGTTACGTTTCGATGTCGTCATGACATCATTATCAAGTGACAAGAAAATAACGGTTCAACAGTGTTATATATGCAGTGAGAGGTGTGATTGTCATGACAACATTGAAACATTGTGTAAAATCTCTATCGCTCATTTTTATTTTGAAAAGCTGTTGTTAATAGTGTTATTATCGTAGCGTTCGTATTGTTCATGCCTATACATATCCCAAAGAAAGTTCGAGATTAAGACCATTACGTCATCGGAGATTTCACAACGGCTAAGAGTGATGGTGCAATAATACAGTTTGTATTGATCAAGTGATGTGGTCTCTACAGTAATCAAAGAATCATCAAGGACTGCTTTGGAATGTGTACTGCATTGCGACTGTAGTGCTAAGAAAACAGTTAAATTTTAAAAGCACGGTTATAAGATCTAAAAGATCTTCTTGCTTTTTTAGTTTTGTCGGTGACCACACAACTACCTCTTAGCCTTAGTTTACTCTCAGAGTTCCTTACATGTAGATTATATGTGGTTTCTCGCCTCTCGAATTGAGAACTTAGATATTCTGGAGCCAACCCGTGGAAAGACTTACAAACCATCGTAGCTCTTTGAATTTGCTGCTGGCTTGTTAAATTTTTCCACCCGAGAAGTTTGAACAGTCAAAGTGTGGCTGTATCAGAGCTTGATATATTAGGTGAAAGGTCGCTTGAGGGACAAGGTGCCTTATTCATTTTCTGGCCCTAATGCCAGAAGCGACCCTCTTTGTTACTTTTTCAATGTGGCCACTCCAATCAAGTTTGTCATTGATGGTCACTCCAAGTGATTTTGCGGTAGTGACCTGGCTAACTTGAAAGTCATTAATTGCAAGCATTGGGGATTCTGTGAGAGTACTTAGTTTCTGCCGAGATCCAAGAAGCATGAATTCGGTTTTAGTCATATTTAGAGTGAGTTTGTTTGCTATCAGCCAATTGTGAACATTTTCTAAATCTTGATTTAGATGCAACTGAATATTGTCTGCATTGTCACCTGCATATGTAAGATGGGCGTCATCAGCGTACATCCTTGGTTCACATTTTTATAGACAGTTTGGAAGATCGTTGGTAAAAAATTATAGAAATAAAGGAGGCCCTAAAATCGTCCCCTGGGGGACGCCACAACTTAGTGAACAACTTTTAGAGAGCGACCCATTGATGGAGCACATTTGAGTACGATTCTCTACATTGTAAATATGACTGAAACCATTTGTGCGCTTTGCCATATATGCTGTAGTCTCTTAATTTCGACAAGAGAATCTCCGGGCCAACTTGTTGAAGGCCTTTTTGAGGTCTAAGAAAACAATAGCATTGATTTTGCTGCAGTCAATGTTGTACACCCAAGTGTCTGTGGCCTCAAGGAGAGGCGTGACAGTTGAGTGTATAGCATGAAAACCCAACTGATATTTACAGATGTGCTCGTTGTGCTCTTCTAGATAGGCGTATAATTGATCATACACAATTCTTTCAAAGACCTTGGCCACAACTGAGATCACCGAAATTGGACGATAATTGTTTAGATCATCCTGATCACCTTGTTTAAACATAGGCACGGAAGGCGTGCAAGAGTTATTTTTTGTGACTTAAAATCCCTGGAGGTAGCAGTACTCGGTGGACTCTTAATAGTTATGATAAGGGTAACTGATTCACGTATACTGGTTCTGGATTCCATTCAATGGCATTATAGAGTTTAATGTTTTTGTACAACCTTTGATGATTGTTGTCGCTAAATATTTCACAATGATTCTTCAAAACAACTCTTTTCCTTCTTTTTCTCCTTTTTAGCTGATATCCCAACGAAATACTTAATAAAACAGACATGCTCTTTTCGAATACTACTTTGTCTGAACTTGTTAAGTATCGACGACCTTGGAACAGCCCCAGTACTCTGTCAAATAAGCATCTTATCTTTCTATTTTTCTGTAAGTTTGGAACAGATTCTTGAAGGTTCTCGACATCTAAGCTTACGTCTTTCAGTCGTCCCTTTACATCATCCGCTACACACGAAAATACAATATTTCGATCTTACACCTTTTAACTCATTTGCAGAGCATCTTGTTCCCTCTAAATAATTATTGTAGTCGACCGAGGACGTGAGCTTAAAATCCCTAGCGTTTGCGCACAATCCTTCACTTGTTTCACATTTAGGAAAGACTGCTCTTTCTCTAAATTTCAATAAACT